TCTAAAAGATTTACACCAAGATATGCAAAGGTTTAAGAATGAGGTAGGCATGTTACAAGTAGAATTCCTGGCTTTGGAAAAAGAAAATTCAGCTTCAGAAAGAGGTAGAGATTCCTTTGCTGCTACTCTGTTTTTTCTCTTTATCAATAATCTCTTCCACTCTGATCCATGTTTGATCTGATTTTCCACTTATGAAAATAGCCTGTGTCATCTAAATATGTAATCGTGTAGAAACAAGACTATTTCTGCCATCTAAATAACAGGAACTCAGGGAAGTATTTCCCTGGGTTTTGTTCTTTAATCAACCTAAGTCTCTGTGCCAGTCTTTCGTATGAAGTGGGAAAGTAATTCAGCTGTGTGTGCCACGTGACCTGAGCCAGAATAAACGCGAGTGAAATGGCTTAGGAGATATAATAAGCTCAAGGGTTTTGTTTTTTTGTTTTAATGTATTGGCTTCAATGTAAGTTGCACTTCCATAGAATGGGAAGAAAGCAGTGACTGAGAGAAGGGATATAGCACACACTCCCACTAAACTGATCTGTGTGTTGTGCTTTAGTGAGTGCGGGCTTATCTGTCTTACTGATCACTGAACACTCAGAATTCCATCATGGCCACTTTGACATATTCTTAAGAACAAATACATGTGCTCCCACATATTCTTGAATCAACACTTTCGGGTGTTTCTGTTGAGTCAGACACTTACATTGTATTATGTAATAAAATGTAGTAAGTAAGTTTTGACATGTATGATTTTACCATACAGGTAGTATGAACCCTCAGCAAAAAAAAAATTCAGTATTTATCGCCAAAGGAGAAAACTTGAGTTTTGAGATGCACTGAATGATTTTTTTTTTTTACTTCTAGTAATAGATTTTTAAAATGTGTGTGTTCTTTTGTGTGAGGTGCAAAGAATGTTAAAGATAGAAATCTGAAGGTGTTCTCCTTTAATAGAAAAAGGAGATGAGCCCTGCCCCCAACTTTGCCAAAATCACACTTTTAACTTACCTGATCAACTTGATGAATTTATTTGGTAGCTTATTCGATTCAGTGTTACAGAATTGTATCATCTCTTTTGACACCGTAAAATGCTGGGGAATACTGCTTTAGGGAATTTGGACAAATTGCTTAACCTTTCTTGGTTGTGTTCTCATTATCAGTAAACAGTGGGGCTAAAGTAGATCATTCATTACTCCTATGCCATCGAGCTATAAAATGGTCTTGGTTATTGAATGTGAAATTGGGAAGCATTATTCCTTTTGCAGAATTCCACACTTACTGGGAATCCATCAGTTTCACTCTGCTCCTTTCGGTAAACTTGGGTTTATATATTTTATTAAACACCACTTTTTTGATACCCCAGGATCCAAATGAAACAAGAATTC